GGAGGACCAGGGATCACAAGGAAGGGAAGTGACGTTTGTGGAAAGAAAGGAGGGGCAGAGACAAGGAGACAGCGAAGAGTTGTTACAATATGCTTTGGCCGGTTTGGCGCTAAGCAGGTTTTGTAGCTGCAGAAGATGTAGAGGGAATTGGATGTGGAGAAAGTCTAAGTGCACATGTCACCCAGGACAGCAGCGGCAAAGCATCAACTTCTCTCTTCTGTTGTTTCCATTGTTCTGGCTATTTTCTGCTCAAGACTGTCTATTGGCTATTGGCTATTGGCTAATGGCAACATGTCACGAAGGACAGGAGCGGCAAATCATCCAGTTCTCCCTTCTGTTGTTTTCATCGTTCTCGCTATTTCTTGCTCAAGACTGGCTATTGGCTATTGGCTATAGGCTATTGGCTATTAGCTGCTGGCTATAAATATATGTAACCATTGTTCTGGAAGTATGTCGGAAGTGGAGCTGCTTCTCGTCTTTTGTTTATTTTTCCATCGCCTTGTTCTCTGTGCACATTTCTGTGGCTATAGGCTATTGGCTATTGGCTGCTGGCTATAAATGTATGTAACCATTGTTCTTGAAGTATGTCAGAAGTGGAGCTGCTTCTCGTCTTTTGGTTATTTTTCCATCGCCTTGTTCTCTGTGCACATTTCCGTGGCTTTTGCGCATTGGCTTTTCAGCTATTTTTTCATTTGGCTATGTAGTTATTCGTCTTTCAGTTATTTCAACTTATTTGGCTATTTTTGAGTATTCAGCTATTTGTCTTTCTGGGCTATCTAGGCTATCACAGAGGCATGAGAGGCATTAAGATGCCAACGCCGTGGCTTCCAGGCACCCATCACCCTCTTTCCAGAGCGAGTATGCTACGGTGGGCAGGGAGGTGCTGATGTCATTACTAATTAGCCCTGTGGTAAAGAGAGAACTTTAGATCTCTCCCCCTACTCGGCCGAAGAATCTATGTCTATAGACCTACAGCGAACAAACATGTGATGCCTTTCTCCTTAAACCCTCCAGGGTATGGCCTCTATCTTCGACTTTTCTGCTAGCTGAAACTGCTGCGGCGCTCTGCGGTCTAGCGATTGATGCAGCACGGGACTGGCAGAGGCAGCTCGCGAGCGCTGAAAACTTGCTTCGCTTGTCGTCTCTGGTCTATCTGGGAGCAAGAAGCAACTCTGGTCTATACTGTGGGTGTCATTGCTCAGGACTCGGTGTGGAAGTCGTAGCACACAAGCCATTACTTCGTGACGCATCAGCCATCTCACTCTCCGTTTCATCCACATTCTTGAACTGCTTGGGAAGTGTGGTATGTATTGGCTATACCAGGCTGGCTATAGTGGCTATAGTGCAGACGTACTAAGCTTCCCTTGTGCGGAAGATCCAACTACATGGCTCTGCATCAGATCGGCAATGGCTATTGGCTATACCTCATTGGCTATAGTGCAGACTTACTAACCTTCCCTTGTGCGCAATGTCCAAGTACGTGGCTCTCCGGCAGTTCGGCAATGGCTATTGGCTATTGGCTATACCCCATTGGCTATAGTGGCTATATTGCAGACTGTGTCCCTTCCATTTTTATGCACATGGATACTCTGATGCCCGCCCACAGAAAAATGTGGCCTATTGGCTATTCCATGTGGCCTATTGGCTATGTTTGCCAGTCCAAGTGGTCTATTGGCTATACTGGCTGTTCCATGTGGCCTATTGACTATACTTGCTATTCCATGTGCCCTATTGGCTGTACCAAATTGGCTATACTGTCCATTCCATGTGGCCTATTGGCTATACCCACATTAGCTATTATGGCTATTCTATGTAGCCTATCGGCTATACTGGCGCTCCATGTGGCCTATTAGCTATACAGTACTGGCTTTTCTGGCCATTCCATGTGGCCTTTTCCCTATACCACATTGGCTATACTCTATTACATGTGGCCTATTGCCTGTGCTGGCCATCAATCGGCCTGTTGGCTATACTGAGCATCCTTACCGTTCCATGTCGCCAGGCCTATTGGTTTGACTTTATTGGTTCGCCATTCCAATGATTTCAATTTTTATTTCAGATGTCTGTATTTTACTTTTCTTTGTCTTGACTCTTGAGCAGTGATTGGTGCATGGCTTGAGATATATCTCCTTTCGGCCCTTGCGAGGTGGTTTTCCTTGTTTGCCTTTTCGCTGAATTGAACTGTATTCTGCTTTCCTCACTGGTTTTGTTATTTCTATCCTTTTTTTTTCTTTTGTTTTTTCTTGCCTACTGACTTCAGCTGAATAGAATGCTCCGTCCTTGTCACTGCATCTGGACTGAATTTGGCCCAAATGCAGCTATAATGATCATTTTGGTGGTCCATTCTAGTGAAAACCCTTCATTCCCAAGGAACCTGTTTTCTGTAGTGACCTCTTGTACTGAATTTGGCCCAAATGCAGCCAGCTATAATGACCATTTTGGTGTGTTCCATTCCGGTGAAAACCCTTCATTCCCAAGGAACCTGTTTTCTGTAGTGACCTCCTCAGGGTAGCTGTGTTTGCTGCTTTGTCCAATTGTGTGTCCTCTTCGTTGCTTGCGGTGATTCACTTTGTTTCCTATTGTTCTGTTTCCTTTTCTTATTTTTCTACCTTCTGAAAAGCAGCGTCCTTGCTAGGAGAGGTGATACAAGCACCCCCTCCTAGCAAGAGACCTGGGGCGTGGTCCCACTAGCAAAGAGGATCGGATCGAATGCCTGAATCTGGACGAGGTTATGGAGATGTGCAGGAAATCGAGATTGAACTGCTTTTCTGCATCTCTGCATAAAACACATCCAGATTCAGGAGCTCGATGCTATCCTTTTTGCTAGTGGGACCTCGGCCCTGGATGCTTCAAACCTTTGTGCGGATTTCCTATTGGTGCGGATTTCGTATTGTTGTGTTTCCTTTGGAACAGTGGTCGTCCGTCGGTTGAACTATTTCCTATTGGGTTTAGTGTAGGTTTATGATCTACTCCGCTGACTTTATCAAAAGGGGAAATTCCTAGAAAAGGATTTTTTTTGACATTTTGTAGGAGACCACGAAAGATTTTAATTTGCTAGGACACGCTTGGAAATTCCCAGTGTTTGTAGGATAGTGGAATGAGACCTTTAGCCTCTTTGCCTTGTGATTTTTGTGCAGCGTTCACACCTTGTCTACCTTGTACTGATTCTCTCCTGTGTTGTGTTTTTTTTCCTTTGTAAAAACTTAAAAAAACTTTAAAAAAGGGTCTTTCCAAATGTGGCTGATGTTTTTGCACTCCTTCTCTCCTCCTGGTGGTGCAGTCGGATTAGCAAAAGTGGATTGGGTTTAATGCCTTGAATCTGGACATGTCTGTAGAGAAGTGCAGAAAAACGCGAGGGGTCTGCTTTTCTGCATCTCCACGTGAAACACATCCGGAGTCAGGCGCTAATCCAATCCTCTTCGCTAGCGGGAATGTGCCCGTGCGCTGCCCCTCGTCAGACCCCATTGAAAGGGGAAAAAAAAAAAAAAAAAAAAGGGAGAGAGAGCTCCGAACATTACTGCATTCTTTTGCTTTTTCTTGAAATCAAGAGTCTCGCCTACTCTGCTGAAGATTTCACACTCCTCCTTTTCCACTCCTGCATTGCACCTTAAACCATGAGTACACCAGGGGGTCTTAGGTCCCCTCTGGGGAGGCTGTGATGATGCAAATGCATGTGGACCCTTGCAGCGCGTCGATTTAGCCACCGCGTTAATGGCGCCCCTATCATGTTTTCGCTTCCTTATGCTTCCGTAAGGATTTGATACAGTCATACCTGTATCGGACCAGAAAAATGGCCTAAAACCATCATCTGCTCATCTGGGCCACCAATACTCTTAAAACTTTTCCTTTGTCCTCTGCAGCTTTAACCAGGCATGCATACCAGTTTAGCTGTGAAAAGGAGGCAGCATGTTTACGAGGGGATCCACTCGTAGCTTGAGAGCAGCTAAACATTGTTTTGACTTTCTGCTTTGGTCTGAATTTGAACTTATGATATGCTTATTGAAACCGCCAGTACTTGGGACCCTTTCTTTATCCGCTGCAGACCTCAGGGTGCAGTTTAAATTAACAAAGTAGGCAGGCGAGCAGATCCTTGAAAAGCAGCACGTTTACGGTGCACTGACTCATCGCTTGAGAGCCTCTAACGTTATATTGCATCCTACGTCTGTTAATTTTTGAACTCGTTTATCTTTTGATTAAACCATCTGTACTTGGGACCCACCCTTCATTCTTTGTGGGCCTTGTACCTTTGAACGTGCTTGAATTTATCATTTGTTCATCTAACA